CATCAATGTTTCTCTTCATATGAAGCTATATTCTCTTTAAAAAGAAATTGCATCTTATACACATTCATAGGAAGTTCCATTCTCTCTAAAAGAAAATTGTATCTTATGCACAAGAGGCTCTATCTCCCTCTCTCTAGAGGAACTATCATTCCCATATGGTGATCCAAATAGAGCACACAAATTCTCTACACTTATATTATATATATATATATATATATATATATAAAGTTAAGCATTCATACTAAATAGGAAACTTTGTATAGATCTTACATATATCACAAAAGATTAAGAGATATATCCAGGAGTCCTAATCCTTTTGGATTTCTATTTCTCTTAGGAAACTTATCAACATCAATCTCAATCCCAAAAAATATAGGAATATCTCAATCCCACATAATATGGATCAATCTTAATCAATCTCATAAAATATGGGATTTCACTATGTTGGTGGTGGTGATTTTGGATAGCACTAAATCCAACATTTAGTTCGTGTGAAATTGTTTTCTATGAAACTATGAAAAATTTTCGCCGTTAAGTGTAGGAATATTTTCATACCAATAAGTCTTAGTGAAATAAAGTTGTCAAATTCACTTCGGAATCTTCTTCGGTTAGGTTAGAAAAATGAAGCAATTCAGTGCTTCAGCAGATCCGGGGAAAGACGTCGAACTTTTTTTAAAATTTAATATAAATAAAATTGGTATTTATATATAAAATATATAAAATAATGAAAAAAAATGAACAATAAAAAAAGTACTTTTTATATTACTATTTTTTTGCTAGCCAAAGAAGACTCGAAGAAGACCGAATCTGCCCGAAGCAGCAGCACCAGGCTTCGCTTTGCTTCAGTTTATTTTTAAAATCTTAAGGCTTTGACCTCTTCGGCCGAAGAAAGTGAATTGGATAACATTATAGCTAACCTTTTTATGCCAATTGGCAACTAATTGATGTGAAAGTATTCTCACACTTGACAGCATAAGAGAATTTTTTCATATGAAAATGTTCTCTAGAAAATACTTTCATGCCAACCAAATGTGCTATCTACTTCCTCGTGTAAAATCCCACCTCAGATTAGCCTTAGGACATCAAAATTAGGAGATATAGCATTTTTAACAAATAGATTAACTCAATAAAAAAACATTCTTAATTGCATCCCTCTAAGCAGTTAAAAAAATATCTGAATAGAAACCATCTAATTTTTAGAGGGTTCATCTAAGCCTGAGAAAACTCAAATTTCAAACCATTTTTTTTAGAATTATCATCTAGTGACTCTAAGGTGATTATCGAAATTTCGGATAGTAAAAATCCTCCTCCCAAATAGGTCATGGGGTGTGTTACTCATGGTAGGAATAGAACTTCTTTTTTTAAAATTATCATCTAGTGACTCTAAAGTGATTACCGAAATTTCGGATCGTAAAAACCCTCCAAAGTAGGTCATGGAATGTGTTACTCATTATAGAAAAAAAACTGAAAATATCATGTTGTGGTAGCCACCACTCTAATTACTTATTGCTTGGGTCATTCTAATTTGTAATTTCTTCTATGCGTTGCATATCTCTTGGTTGGAAATTGGAACTAGATACCGAAATGCATATTCTACGTAGTGAGAGAGAGGCCATGTCGTAAACTTTTCAGGAAGATTATATGCTCATTATCATATTCTCCCCTCGGTCACTCCCCTAAAATTCTATATAGGTCTCTAATGTGTATGAAAAAAAAAAGCAATATCTAAATTTCGGATGGTTGGATTTAGGTGTTTACAAACTTAAAATTCAAATGTTGTTTTTTAAAAGTATTCATCCTGTAATTCAAGTTACTAGAAGTGGGGTTCAACGAAAATCCTCCTAATAAGCCCTTTTGCCACTTTATTGGGCAGCTCAGAAGGGATCGGGTCCTTTTGGCAGGAATGGAACCCAATGCGCCATGACGTGGTGACTCATTACCTTGACCACTTAGCCTTGAGCCCATCCCAAGTTTGCTGAAATTAAATTACAGTGGACCCGTTGTTTTTGTCATTCCAATTCCTTTTCCAAACCAAGAAAAGATACACACAATAAAAATAAAAAAAAGAACAGATTCCATCTAAGCTTTTGGGTTGGAGATGGACTTTTCAGGGTTTTGGGTGAGATAGATTCCCATGTTCAAGAACCTAGTGGAGACATGCATGGGCCCAACCCATGTTAACTCTTTTCAAGTAGTAGTTGGGGTTGGAGACACAATGGAGAGAGAGAAATGAAGAGAGAGAGAGGACAGAGAGCTAAAGAGCAATGAAGAGAGAGAGAGGGCTAAAGTGCAATGAAGAGAGAGAGAGAGAGGAGACGGCTAGAGAGAAGAAGCATATGGTCCTTAGCCCACCATTGTTGAGGGCGTGGTGACTAAACATTTGAAATAGGTTTCAAATAGTAGTTGGGCTTTTGTGACGACAGTATGAAACGAGACATGGAGGTATGCGTGTTGGAAAACATAATCACCGGTCAACTCTTGCCTCCGATTTTGACTAATGGGCGTAGATGGATAGACTTAACATAGATCATAAATAAGCCTGTTATATACATTTTATTTTGAACAGTGTAGAATTAACATGTATAGATCCGAGGCTCTAAACAATCGAAGGTGAGCGCACCTTCAAAAGTGTCAAGAAATGTGGTTTTAATATTGGAAATCTTTGTGATAACCTTGAAATATATTTTGATATCTAATTATAAAATTTAAAGCTTCCAAAATAATGTAGATCGAGCATATCGATGAAAACTTGATAATCTTGAAAGGTCCAAATATGTATTACAAGATGCACTACTTCCAAAACTTGAAATCTATTTTTTTCTCATATCCATGCATCTTGATGTCGAGATGATCAATTTGAGGATATTTAAGCATCAAAACCACCTCTATTAATGAAAATTTTGAACTGCGCACTAATTTAATTGTTTAGAGTCTCGGCTCTATATAAAGGTTTTTTTTGTTTTAAAGAGCATGTCAAATCCATAGCGTCCAACTAAAATAGATGGTGTAAAACATCGCAACCATTCTTCTACAAGTAAAATTACAACCTTATACTTGTATAAAATATAGAATTTAGTTTTGAGTAGCATTAGAGTTATACACAAAAATAATAATTGCCCCTCCTGATTAGAAAAGAGTGCACATGATCTTGAAATAGAATTATACTATTGCTTATTCAAAGTCAGGCGAACAACACCAACCATTGAGCACTGGAGTTAAGACTCTTCTTTGAGAGAAAAAAAGTGTTTTGAGAGAGTCACAAAATTCGTGACTGGAATGAGAGCTACAAGCCCTTTATATGAGGGAAAAGTTTATGCAGAGCCTACGCTCTAAACAATTAAATTAGAGCCTCTCTCAAATATTTCACTAGAAGTTGTTTTGATACTTAAATATCATCAAATCGATCATCTTGACATCAAGATGGATGGACATGAAAAAAAAAAAATTTCAAAATTTAGAAATAGTGCATCTTGTAATGCATTTTTTACCATCAATTTTCAAGTTTTTCAAGTTTTTATAAATTTGCTTGATCTACATTATTTTTAAATCTTTAAATTTTATAATTAAAAATGAAACTATATTTTAAAATTATTACAAAATTTCCAGTATTGAAATCATATTTCTCGACACTATTTGAAGGTAGGCTCTAATTTGATTGTTTAGAGCCTCCGCTCTATACAAACAGCTCCCTTTATATAAAGGGTGAGGTTTTTACAAGGCACCCTCCTTATATTGTAAAAGTAAGACCACCTCTAAAATTTACTTGGAGATGTACTTCCAATGTCAAAAATATTATAATGGCTTGAAAATTTATTTTTATCCATTGTTACAAATTTTAAAATTTAAAAAATGGTACGGCTTAGGCAGTTCTATGAACACTAGAAAATCTTGAAAATAAATGGTTTAATGTTACAAGCCGCACTGTTTTTTAAACTTGAAATTCTTTTTTTTCTTCATATCCACACATCTTGAGATCGAGATGATCGATTGAAGGGTTCTTTAATATCTACACACTCTTTTCTATATGATTTTTGATGTGCACCTTACTTCAACATAATAAAGTTGCAACTTTATATAGAATTTTTCCTTGAACAAACACATTGAATAGTCACGACTATATCCTTTTATATTTTGGATCAACTTTCATTGAATTGATTTCTTCTCGCTTATTTCATTTATGGAATTTTCACAAATACTTTGCCTTCATATTTCTCCACCTAAAACCATGTACCTGTCTAGTTTTTCCATTTATTTTTTTCTTCATATAACCTTTAATCCCTCATATACACTTGTGCTCTGATACCAATTATATAGGGTTCTCAAGAACCCTTGCTTGTAGAAATGCGAATCCAAAATACTGAGATCCCACCCATGATCGTGTACATAGTTGGCTAAATGCAAAACAGATTAATACAACCATAAATCGAGTATAAGAAATAAAGCAAAAATAAAATCATACCACAATGATACATGATTTATGTGGTTCACCCTGTTGGGCTACATCCACATCCTGAGTAAGTAGCAATCTACTATCACAATGAAGATTACAGTTTTGAGTTATAAGAGATACACCTCTTTAAGCATCGGTAAAAAAGTCACAAATTTTTCTTCCAAACCTGCTCTCCTAACTGAGCAATACCGTCAGTCAACCTCATCTTTCTTACTACTACATCGTTACCAAAAAGAAAATCTTGAGAGCAACCGAGAGGCTCTCTCACTAGAAATGAAAATTTTACCAACCTTAAACCCCTATGGAGAAACTGCCTCTCTCTATTAAGCCGTGTCTTGCTCTGTTGAAGACCCATCTCCTTCTTTGAGAGCCTTTCTTATGAACACCAAGAGGGGTGACCATCAAAATGATGGGTATTAGGTCCTCCTTACTCTTTTAGATAGCGATCATTTTCTTACCTCTCAAGAAAACCCCTTTTTCTTTTTCCCCTAATACCCTTAATCTTGAGAAAAAGTATAGGTATGTAATTTATCTATCACCAAACACAAAACTGCAAAGCCATATGTTGGACCTCTAATATTATAGATATGGAAAACCATGGATTTGGATAGCAAAAGTTTATAACTCTTGCATTATTTTTTCTAGATAGTCTATCTTCAAGCTTATCCTGTCTTTGAGATTAGCTCTATTTTTGGAGCTCCAAATTTAAGATTTTCACACCAATTATTTGTAGGTGACAAGAGATGTTTTGGGCAATCAATCCATTTTCAAGATGAAGTTTCAGATTGTACTTGCATCCACCACATCCGCACCATAACATTTGCCTTTTAAAGCATTTAGTCCTTTGAGGACTATCAGGCCAAGGTTATTAAGGCCTAATTTGAATATAGAAATATCTTGGTCATATCTTTACTAACCTTTGTTGGCATGCTTGGAAATAGGTGCACATAAATGGTCATAATCACTGCAAATAATAAGGATTGTATGAAACAAAATTTTGTTCTTCTTTTGTTTTTTTTATTGTTACTAGCAAAAGACCATTATTGTTGGTCATTTTGCTAATACTCCAAAAAAATTTAGATATCAATACTTTCAGCTTCTAGGGCAATAAAGCTTCCTAGAGAACCCATCTTCTAGTTACTAAATGTACCTTTTAAAATCTATAATCTTATGTGCATGTGGTCCTTACAATCTAATGTAAATTTCGCAATGCTTTAGCCATATTAGTCGAAATCAGTTAGGGCTAAACTGGGCTAGGTGGCCGGTCACCTTAGTTATAAAAAAGTAGGGCCTAGGATACAAATTGTAGCTCGAAGGCGGGCTAGGGCCGGTCCTAGGCTAACCCTATGGGGACAAGGGCCGGGCCAGCCGGGGCCAAGGCTGGCCCGGCCCTTTGCCACACTTGTGAAATCTTAAGGAAGTAAAAGCCATTTCGAAATTCCAGTTCACTAAGGATCCCAGTTTCTCCATAAATGGGGAGAAATTACATAAAAATAGTAGTTACGGTGAGAAATTAGTATCATTGAAGTAAGAAGTAGAAATTCGTTAGTCTAGTTCTTGTGTTTGAGACCGACTTTCAGAATTGTTGAGGCCATCAATTTCTGTATGCATCAAGTCTTCAAAAGAGGACTGGACCGTTCAACTCCCTATATTTAGGCAAAACTGGACTGGCCCCGTCAATTCCAGATACGAACTGGTTCCGATACGGATAGCCAATTTTTAATGATAAAGCTCCTTTTTTTTTTTTCACTGGAAAAGTGCGCATATCTATCTTTACTTTTCTGGATCAGTTCATACCTTTTTTACCTTAATTCATTTAGTCTTATAAACCTCCGACAAAAAATGCAAGCTGGATTTTCTTCGCAATGAGTTTGCACCCCCAAAACATTGGTAAATAAATCACATATCGATTTATTTGTCCTATAAGATTTTATATCTTTGAAGGAATTACTTGTAATGAAGGAAACCTTGAGAGAGCATGGATAGGGTGGAGATGGGAGGCGACTTCCCTTCTGGGGTATTGGATTTAAAGGATTGTTTTCCTACTATAAAAAAGCCTCGGCTTTCTGTGGTAGGCTCCTTCTGCCCACCTATAGCTGATGTTTTTGTCCTTGGGGTGTGATGATCCAGATTTTCCCTGCGTAGTGTAATGCACAGCAGGATACGGAGGGGAGAAGAAGAGAAGAGCACGCGGTTGTAGAGTGTGCAGCGACAGTGAGATGCACGCGACAGTAAGAAGAGAGAGAAGAGAAGACGAGCACGTGACAATAGGAAGAGCACGCGGCGACAGGAAGAGCGCGCGACAGTGTGCGCACAGCAGCGAGAACGCAACGCCCTAAGTGAACAAGGGGCATCGCTGCGAAGGCAAGGAGTAGCACCGTGCAAATAGAGGCCAGCGTCGTGCTTGTACCACCGTGGGTGTTGTGGTTAGGCCACCGGAACTATTGAAGTAGGGTGGTACTTGAGGGACTACCTTTTTTCCTTTTTTTTCCCCTTTTTTCTTTCCCTATCCCCTTTTTCTTTCCCTATCCAAGTGTCACCCCCTTTCCCTTGCCACTTGGAGGTGGCTTGTTGCTACATCTCCTTCCATCCTCTCACTAGCCATTTAACCCCCAGTCCTCATCTCTCTCCTCTCCCTCTCATTTTCACGCCATCTCTCTCTCTTTCATAGAGCCTCCCCCTTGGAACTTCTATGAAACACTTTGTGGCTTGAGGAATTTAGAGCTTGGAGGAGGAGACTGTAGAAGGAAAGATTGGAGGGCACTTTTGTTGTTAAAGTAAGTGAATTACTACCCTTTTGCATTAAGATTGTATGAGCATGAAACTGAAAGTATGGAATTTAAGTATGAATTCCATGAACAAAGTGTAAAGTGAAGCATGTATGTTGGTGTTCTGTTTTTCAGCAATTAGGGTCTCTTTGTATGATAAGTTGCACATTGTTACCACTTTTGTGGATCCTAAAATTCTGTGAAATAATGCTTGTGTGAACCTAGTTTAGGATAGAAAAGGGTTCATGTTGTCATTTTGTATGGATTTGAAGTTATAGAATAGTCTATGGAATGTGTCATGCTTGTAATGTGCTTCTCCAAAAAATTTATCTGTTTTTGTGATGAGGTTTTGTCTAAGTAAATAATATCCGATTGGCCTCAAATTATAACCATTGGAAAGGTCCATGAGTCTATTTTGCATTTGATGCCTATGACTAGTTGAGATTCTTGATAATTTGGAAGGTATGATTTGTTTTATGCATATATGTCACTGTTAGCAGGCCGTGATAATTTCCAAAAATACTACTTCTGTTGTACTGCGAGTTTGACTAAGCAATTGGAATCCAAATGGCGCAAACCCACCACCATTGGAAAGATTTATGAGTCTATTTCAATGTTCATGTTTACATCTTTCCATGATTCTACATGTATGTAGAGTTATATCTTTTAAAAATGTCAGTAATTCTCTGTAGACAATTTTGGTAAAAACACAGCACTGATGTCTCAGATGTCAAGTGTTTTGACCAAACAATTGAGGTCTGTTTTCATATAAACCACTTCCTTTTGAAAGAGTTTTTAGTAAGCTTGAGATCACGTGTTTAGCACTTTTCGAAATTCTCCCTAATTTGAGAGTTATATGATTAATCGTAACAATATGTCACTATGGACAGCTTTTACAAGACTCAAAATTTATGCCTTTGTCGCCACGGATTTTGACTGATAAAAAGGGGGTCCATTTTCTTCCAAACTATTATCATTTGAATGGTTCATAAGTAATCTTCAATTCACATGCTGAGCACTTTTCAAAATTCCTTCTTGACTGTGAGTTATTGAGTAAATTTTAAAGACATGTCACTGCCTGAAATTTCAGGAAGTGTGACATCGACACTGAGACTCTGATAATGTATGATGTTGATACTGTTACTCTGTGACACTAATTTTCTGTGATATTGATGACATTATCATATGTTATTGATACCGTTACCCTGTGATTGTGATAATGTGATTTTGTTATATGAATAATGAATACTGTAAAATGTCATATGACTGCTACGCAATGGGTCCTCCATTGGTAGTAGACCTTATGTTTCTGTTATATGAATATTGATATCTAACTGCTATGCAATGGATCCTCTATTGGTAGTAGATCTTTTGTTTCTGTTATATGAATACTGATATCTGACTGCTACACAATGGGTCCTCCATTGGTAGTAGACCTTTTGTTTCTGTTATATGAATACTGAAATCTGACTGCTACGCAATGGGTCCTCCGTTGGTAGTAGTCCTTCTGTTTATGTTATAAGAAAATTGATATTTGACTGCTATGCAATCGGTCCTCCATTGGTACTGGGTATATTGTACCTCGACTCCTATGATAGGAGTGGAGTCGCGATGTAACTGTAAATAACTGGGAGGGTTGTGCCCCCCCAATTTTCATAGGCACTATGTATTGGGTCCTCTAATGGTAGTGTAACGCTTTCTCGCTTGAGGGCATAAGAAGAGGGTTATGTCTTGCAAGGCCGCAGCCTATCGAAAACCCCAAAGCACACTCGGGATTGTGTGCGTGAGTGAGGGCATTATGCAGTGGAGTCTTCACTTATCATTGTCTTCCCTCCTGAATGAGGGTAGAAGTTCCAAGTTCATGAATTGCTTAGCCTGATCGATGTGGCTTCTACTTCAGGAGTAACTTAATCTGTTCTGCTTGTCTGAATTCTGTATTTTGTAAGAACATCTGACTATAACTGTAATATGCATAAAGGTTGGTGTCATCTCGAGAACAAGTAATGCTCTATTAACTGATTCATACCCTCTTTATACAACATTCATATGTACTCTGATATGTGACCATACCCTTTGAGATAAATGCGATTTCAGATGAACTATGGGCATGCTATTATGTATTTACTGATAGTCAGGAATGCAAGGGTAGTGATCTACTTACTGGGCTTATTGCTCACTTTGCTTATTTCATCTGTGTAGAGTGACAGTGCTTGACCACGTGCAACGAGCAGCTGATCGGTGATAGCAGGCATTTGGGGTTCTGACAGGTTCAGGATTTCCCTTTTTGTCATTCTCGATGTTTGGTGGCATTGCCACGTGTTGTTCTATTTGATGTAATGCTTTGGGTTTAACGTTAGGCTTGTAAGCCTTAAACTTTATTGTAAAGTTTTTGGAAATTGAATGAAAGTCATGGTTTTAATTTATTCAGTTTTATTTTGTTCTTGGTGGGTGAGTTTTTATTTTCTCGTGGCTTGCTTTGATTTTGCGTTTTTAACACGTGTTGATGTCACTCCCACCTAAGTACGTGACCTCCGGTCGCGATCCCGCACTCTATCACCCTTCGATATGGGACGGTAGGGGTCAGGGGGCAGGGTCGTTATATGGGGACTGGGCAAAAAGGGGATGGTGGTTGGATTATTGCCCTGAAGTTTATTTTATTGCTAATGGTAGGGTGGCTTTCCTGTTGCGATCTGACTATGATGTCTCCAATGCTTTTCGAGAAAAGTTCTATAGAGTTTGAGGTTCTTTGAGGACTTTGGTAGCTTGGAACCCCTTTGTATATTCTTCATGTGTTCAGAAATTTGAATGTTGGGTTCGTTTATAGGGTATACCTCTGTATGCTTGGGATGTGGCCCTTTTCAGAAAATTTATCAGTTCCTTTGGAGAATTTTGTGAAGTGGACATGTGTGTACTCTCTGTGACATGAATAATATAGTGGCTAGAATTAAGATTAAGAGATTTGTTGGAGTTCTTTGTCCAAGTAAAGTTGACTTCAAATGGGAACGGATGTTTTCATTGTTGATATCGATTTTGAAGTCCCTCAAGGTGTGCCGACTGTTAAATCTAACTCACATGTAGAACTAAATCCTTAGTTAGTAGACCAAGAGGGAGCTTGGACTCGTGTAGAAGAAGAAAGCAGTTGACAGTACGATGCACATCCATGATGAAACTTCTCATGATCGGAAGCAAGGGGATTTTTCAGGCGACGGTATACAGAAGAGACATTCCCATCGGTAGCATAGGTTCTATCGTTCTCGCAACAGGAATTCAATTTTTAAAATTAAGAAAATGTGGATTCTGGTGGGGCGATTTCTGGAAGTACCACAAGGCCAGTCAAAGGAGGTTCAATATTCAAATTTGGATATGTTGGTAGAGAGAAGAGGTGCGGTTTATAGTGGCAATCGTGATCATGTGGGTTCACCTACTCTTTTGCCTACGGTTTAGGCATTGTCTACACGTGGTATAGAGGAATTTCTGACGAATCCAACGATGCAGGTCTTGAGAAGGAAGAGTAATGATGATCTTCGTTCTGGAAAGGACCATATCCCTGCTGTGAAGGTGATGGAAGCAAATTTCTGCCTCTCTCCTTCATTCCCCTGGCTTCGCCATGTTTCCTCTGTAATCTCTTCTAGTCTCCTCCTTCGTTCTCCCTAGCAAGTTAAGGGACTCAAGGCTAAGTGCTCGGTTTCGTATTTGTTGTACTTTTTCTTTGACTCAGTTGTGATAATGAGGTTCCTACCCTGCCAGAGAGTAGCCAAGAAGAAAATTGTACCTAGTGAGAGGCCAACTTTCTATCCATTGCTAGTGGATTGTTTGGCCATCGTACCTATGATGGACTCTGATGAGGAAGGTTTGGATGGAGAGATGGAGCCGTTGTTTCTTCCTGATGAGAGCCATGAGCATCTTCCATCTGATTCTGAGTTGGCTATAATGATAATGGAAGACCCTCCTTTGAATGTAGTTTATAATGAAGAAGAAATTCTCGTAATTGCAACCACTGTGGGAGAGATTCTGGTAATGGTTTCCTCTAAGGTTCGGGGATTTGCAAAGGTTGATGTCAAGGAGAGGAAAATGTGGTTATAGTGGAGCATATGGGGCTGGATTACAATGTCCCTATTGTTGTGATCCTAGAGGAGTTTAGAAAGAAGAAAAAGGCTTAGAAAATAGTGAAGGCACAAGATAGTTTGACTCCTACTGTGGTAGAACCTTCTCGTAAGATTGCTTATAAGAAGACAATTGTGAGCTCTGAGAAGATGCCATTGTACTCAGGGTCTAAGAAAGTCAAAGATAAAGTGTTTGCTCCTAGTTGGTCCTCTGCTAGATTGGCCTTTAGGGGCCCTGGTGTGGTTATCAATCGGCCAGGGTGACTGAATCTATTCCAATGGAGGATCAGTAGTGGTGATGCAGACTCATATTCTATATCTTCTTCCAATGCGTCATCTTTGGGGATTGCTATGATGTTGGAGCAGCATTACCTAAGGCCACCACTCGATGGTTCAGGTTCGACTTCCTCTCCCCCTCCATGATTATTCTTAACTGGAATGTAAGGGGTCTAGGCGATTACAGTAGGAAAATGGATAATTTGTTTTTAGTTTGGAAGTTTAAACCTGATGTTTTAATTATGCAAGAAACCAAGCTTCCTAGACCTATTGTTACTAGAATTAGAGAAGTTTGAAGGGCTTAGGGCGGTTTGTTTTAATGGTATTAACTCTGTGGGAGCATTGGGTGGCTTATGGGTGTTATGGAACCCTCGGGTCTTGCAAAGTTTTGAGGTAATCAAGGTGACAGGCTTTTTGGGGTTTTGTTCAATGGTCATGGGTTTTTTATTGGGGTTGTTAAATGTTAATGGACCTAACGTCGTTTCTTTAAATGAAGGTTTTCTTAATGACCTATCAGATATTCTTTCATTGTATGATATTCCTTTTTGTATTAGAGATGACTTTAACTTAATTTGATGGCCGGAGGATTAATCCTATAGATGTGTTATCAACTCTTCGATGAAGATCTTTAACAAATTTATTGAAAATAATAGTCTTTTTTAATATCAATGTTGGGAGCATTGTATACATAGACGAATAATTCTATTTCTGATCTGATTATGACAAAAATCGATAGATTTTTAGTGTCAAATGACTGGCTGGATTCTTTCCTACTATCTTTAGTTAAAGCAATGCCGAGGTTGTCCTCAAACCATTGCCCTCTCCTACTTTGTTCTAATAATTATTTGGGTGGACCTAAAATTCTTTTCAAATGGATATCTGTTGGTTAGAAGAGATTGGGGTAGTTGATTTAATTAGAAGTACTTGGGAAAACATTGTTACTTTTGGCTCTTTAGACTTTCAAATACATAAACAATGGCTTAATGTTAAGCATAAGCTGATTGAGAGGAAAAGTTCAAACAAATATTAGTTAAAATGCAAAGCAAATAGGTGTTTTGAGGATATCAGATCCTCGATCAGGCTATCCAGGAGGATGGAGCCGTCACTAATGCTGTGATGATAACTAGAAAGAAGAAGGTAGATACTCTTAATGAGTGCCGCTGACTTGAAGAAGTTTACTGGCGCCAACGATCACGAGTGAAATAGCTAAAAGAGGGAGATTTAAACACCAAATTTTTTTCATGTCATTGCAAGCGCTCACAAGAGACAGAATGATATATTTGGCTTGACAATTCAAGGGGTTGAGGTAGACGATAGGGATGGAACTGACCATGCTATTATTGACCATTTTCAGAAAGCTTTTACTTCTGAGGTGCGTTTCACTCCTAGTATGGATCGTATTCCTTTTAGGGTGTTGTCTTCGAATGTGATGGCTCAGTTAGAAGAAGTTGTGACTATGGATGAACTAAAAATGTTGGTTTTTGCATTAGCAGGGGACAAAGCACCAGACTTGGATGGCTTTCCTATTTGTTTTTTTCATAAATGTTAGAATATTCTTTCTAGGGAACTTTAAGAGATGGTCAAAAGTTTTATGGTGCATGATGAGTTTTTTAAGGGGGTTAATTTCAACATTTATTAATTTAATCCTGAAAAAGTTTGTACTTGTCGAGCTTAGTGATATTAGACCTATTAGTCTACTGACTAATCTCTACAAGATTGTAGCTAAAGTTTTAGCAAAGAGACTTAAGGAAGTGCTGGATTTTATTATATCAAGCCCCCAAGCAGTGTTTATCCAAAATCAAATTGTAACTAACAATGTTTTGGTTGCCCAGGATTGCATTCACTCTAGGGTTGAGAGTGGGGAGCCAGGACTGGTGCTTAAGTTAGCTATGGAAAAGGCCTATGACAGGGTTGAGTAGAACATCATGTTTGAGATTTTCAAGAGAATGGAATTGGGTGCAAACTAGAGGAAAATGATTTTTAGGTGTCGTTCCTCGACCCATTTCTCAGTCTTGATCAATGGTTGCCTCAAAGGCTTTTTCAGAGCATTGAGAGCATATAGACAAGATGACCCTTTATCACCATTCATGTTCACAAAGTATGCTGAATGCTTTTGCCTTATGATGTACAATGTGGTGAGTAGGGAAAATTTCCATGGCTTTAGGATTGCTCAAGCAGGATCGATTATATCTCATCTTCAATATGCGGATGACACCCTTATCTTCTGTGAGGTGGATAAGGATTAAATCCCAAACATTGGGAGGTTCCTAACTTGTTGTGAGGTGACAGTTGGATTAAATGTAAATTTTGTAAAGACATAAATTGCAATGAGAAGTTGGTTAGTGAATTGGCTGGTCTCTTGGATGTAAGGTGGATGTTTTTCCTATCACCTATATGGGTATGCCCATACCAGATACTCGACTAACCATCTCAATTTGGGATAGGGTGATCCAGCGGGCTCAAATGAAACTTGACTTATGGAAGCCGAAATACTTTTCCTTGGGTGGTACGGATACTTTGTTGAGGTCATATATGGCTAACTTACCAGTTTATCAAATGTCCCTTTTAAAATGCCTAATGGTGTTATTAAGATACTAGAGAAGACGATGCAAGATTTCCTATAAGGAACTGATGGAGATGAGAAAAAGTTTCATCTATTGAGATAAGATAGAGTGTACATGCCAAAAGAAGAGGGGGGTCTGGGTATTAGGAAAATCTCAATTATAAATGAGGCATTACTGTGCAAATGGTGGTGGCTCAGTCTATTGTTTAACGATCACTTGTGGTGCAAAGGTTTTTTGGCTAAGTATGGTATAGACAGATTTGGCATGTGGCTAGGAGGGGGGAAAGATAGCTTATCTAGATTAGTGTTTTGGAAGGACATCTATTTATGCAGGCCTTATATGTGTGGGATTATAAGGTGATGCATCGGAAATGGTTCATCAATCTCTTTTTGGTATCATAAGTGGCTAGGGGATAATCCACTGAAGTATTTGTACCCGATCTCTTCTCTAAAGTTTCTTATCCTCAAGCTATTGTGGCGG